GGACGGCGGTTTTCCGGTGGTCAGTGGAGCGGTTTACCGTCGAGGAGGGAGGAGGATCCCATTGGGAGGAGCTTATTTCTTCGGTTTTTGGTGGGAGCGAGGGAGAGATTTTGAGGTGTCTGGGGTTTATTCGTGGTCGAAGGGTTATATACGGAGGGTGCAGTTTTTGCGCGGTGAGCGTAACGAGGACGGGCGGGTGAGCTGGATTGGGCTTGTGATGAAGTGGACTTTCACTTGTAAAAATGTAAGTTGAACTTCAGAAATTTTAAGTGGGAACTTCTATTTGCTATATAAACATTTGTTGAAATGGGAACTTCTATTTGCTGGAAATTATCAATTTCTTCAATCTTTACTTTTTATTTCTTTCTTTTTTATGTCTTTTTAATATAAGTTATATGTAAATGAAATTGTGGCTTAGTTTTCTAACTTGGGACGAAGAAATTGTTCTATTACTGATTGTAGGAAAGGAAGACTGATAGGATATATTGACGGAGTTTAGATATACACACCATTTTTAGTGCTAGTTGTTGAGGTGTTCATATTTTAGTAATTTACTTCTGGAATTCAAAGCAAAAAAAAAAAAAAAAAAAATTGTAGTCTGATGGATTTCTTATATCTAATTTGGGATCTTGATTTGGAGACTTTATCCTCCTTACTTCTAATCGAGGACTACGCGTTACTGTCTATGTTTGATTGTTGACATTGAAAATCTTTTAGCATTGCGCCTTTAGTGAGAGTAATTTTGAGATAATTTATAGTCAATTCTAATTAGTATAGCAGAAGAGTTTATTGAATATTCCAATAAAATATTAATCATAAGTGTTATGGTGTTCTCAATCGTCAAAGTATGACCATTTGCCAGCAACGAGCATATATATTTCTACATGCAATACCCTAATCAAATTGGTAGTCAGAGACACGAGTGACGGTACTTGTCGGCCCTCTTGTCGAAGACAACTCGCAACGAGCGCACTTGACCAATTATTCGACGCCTCATGAGAACGACTCGAAGGCGTTACTTCTCGGCGAAGCTAGAGAACGGTTTCAACCTCGAGCCTCTCCCACTGACAACGTGTTTGCATCACATTTAATGCTTGGGAGGCGCCATCATGTCTCTAGCCCTGACAGTTTTTATGACTCATCAGACCACGTCAGCACCGCCATGCCTTAAATCACGTCTAATTTAATACGGAAGTGATCTCTCCCCAGTCGTCAGCCAACACCTGTAAAGTAAGTACTGACGCGACCGCCAACCCATACTTTCTCACTGCCACCCTGTGCTCGGCTAAAGTGTCCATTCTACCTTTATACCATCAGTATAAATACGAGGTACTATTCTAACATAAGGATGCTTCTCGTTCTCCTGAAAATTATACTCATTAGCAATAACTGCAAATTATATTGTACAAATAAGAACTCTTACAGTTTATTCGCCAGCTGACTTGATTGTCGGAGGAACCATAGGGGAACCAGACCCTGTCCTCGCACAAGTTTCTACTTGTGCAGGCTTCAACCACTCAACTCAGATTCAGATATTTGAGGAAAGAAACGGCCCCTCATCAACTTCACCCCCATCCAACTATTTTAATTGACTGTGTGGTCACTTAACATCAACAATAAGCTTGTGATTTTTTATTTTTTATTTTTGAATAGATAAACGAGATTTTATTAAAAGCTTACAACCGAAGCAAAATATATTACCATAGAGGAAAATGACTCTTTGTTTGGTAGAATAGGTGATCTATTCTTTAGCGAATACTAGGATTTGAGATGCAAACCAGGGGGAGGGGTGGATGAATATGGTTACTATTGATTTTTGCTAAAAACACAATATATGCAGCGACAAAGATAAAATAAAATCAATTAATGATAACTAATCACCAAATAACAACCAATTAGGAACACGTAAGATTTTATAGTGGTTCGTATAATAATTCTACGTCTATTATTCCTTCTCACGAAAAGCTTCCTTAATATGCCAAAAGTTCTTCTGGATCACAAACCCGATCCAGTAAGCTTACAAGACTGCTCCCTAAAATCTACTCAAAACTAGTTGTCTAACCTAACTCTCCACATTGAATAACATCGACCCCTATCTAGTCTCAACCCTTAATTCTAATTGGCTTGAGCATGCTGTAAAAACATGTTTAAAACGAAACCAAACAATCAAACTAAGCTTAGAAAATATGAAAGATCTTACAACTCTTTTGATAACCAAACCGTCCTTCGATGAATCTAAGCATAGCTTAGTAAAGAACAATATAGATGATAAATTTAACGGCAACTCTCCTCACTGAAATGATCCAGAGATGTTGTGCACGATGAATGAGTGTTTGTTGAGGCTTCGGGGGCCAAAACCGTTAATGAAATCTCTTCACAATTCAGCACCTTATAATTCTCCCTTCTCTCTATCTCTTTCAATGATATGTAGTCCCCAATAGGTCAGGAAAGAGATATTCTAAACATGGTAGAGTTTGGAGATTAAAAGAATGATGAGCGTTTGACAATAAAACTTAAAATCTGCAATCATATGACTTTACCATCGATGATAATTCTCAACCATCGTTGGAGTTAAGGCCTCATCAATGGGTTCATGTATGTCATCGATGATATGAAAAACTCTATTGGAAAAATCATTAATTTGTCACTGTAGCAAGCGATGTGTAACTGTACCCATCAATGAGTCACTTTATATCATCGATGAGCTCATCTCACCATCGACACGTCATTGTTGACCATCGATGGTGAGCTGAAATCAGCTTTTTAGCTAATTTCCTTGTCGTTTCACCTCATACATTTCTTATATCTATATTTACTTGTACTATATCATCTCAAATAATTATTAGTACCAAATAAAAATTTATTATTACTCAAACAGGAGATATTATACGGATTACGTCCCAACTGTAGAATTGGAGATGAAGGCGACGAAGCTCAGGAAAATTGAAGTAGAAAACGTTTTGGATGTTGCACGGTCGACCGCGAGTGGAGCTGCGGTCGACCGCGAATGTGCACGAACACAGGAAAGTTTCTGAACTTTTTACGGTCGACTATGAGTGGTACGACGGTCGATCACGAGACCCTGTAGTATTTTTTGTTCTCTGTCGATTGACCACAGTCAACTGCGACTGGCGCAGCGGTCGGCCGCGATGTAGTTTTGGGTCTGGGTCCTGTTCTGATTGGTTTTTTATTTGATATAAATAGAAATATGTTTTGTTTAGGGTTTTCGATCGTTCCAATCGTCAGAATTGGATTTTAGGGTAGCTTGAAGGTGATTTTGAGCATAGAAAAGAGAGATCTTTCTGAGCAATTATTTGAGGGTTTAATTTTGAGAGATTTGAGAGATTTGTTTGAGAGGTTAGTTGAGTGATCTCATAATCTCTACTTTGCACTCTCTTTCTCTATAGTGGAAACACATCCCTTCTTGCTCCGTGGACATAGAAAATTTGCCGAACCACGTTAAACTTTTATGTTTGAGTTTGTGTCATTATTGTTTAATTTGAGTTGCCTTCTCTCTTAGCGTTTGTGTTTGTTCCACCATGCACAACAAGTG